AGAGCAAAACCCATACTGTGACTAAAGAAGCAAGTAAGGGAATTTACGGTTCCACCTCACTGCAGAGTTGAAACAGGTAGTTTAATAGGAGGTCCAAACAAAGCCATAGAGATCTCTCCCCTAGGTGGATGTCTTTCTCAGGATAGGCAGGTTCTCAGGTTCAGTTCTCAGGCTTGTGACCACAATTCCTAGGCAAGTGGGAAAGCGAGACTCCTTCCTGATGTTTCAAGCAAAAACCCTGACAAGGGATTTTTGTTAGCCCTGATTGCTCCAGCAGGGTAATGTGTTCACTAAGCCAGTCAGTGAAGCTGGAAGGATGGAATGTTCTGGAAAGCTCTAGTCCTGACATTCGCCACAGGAGGTGGAAGTATTTATCAAATAAGTCACATGGATTGAATGTTGAGAAGGAGTCATTTCCTCCAAAGCAAAATCATGACCTACTGTCAGAAGAGGGAGAAGTTGGTGCTGGGTGAGAAACATCCCAGACTGGTGTTGGGGTAGAGGTGGCAAGGGTCAACAGACACCATGGGCAGGGTCTTGAGGGCCTTTCCTCTGATTTAGGAAGTCGAATGAGATATCCACAGGCAGCCCTTTGAGAACATGACAGAATTCAAGAGGTCAGTAGGGACAAATTTGGAATGAATTCCAGACTTGCAATACCTACTGAGTTTATGAAAAGAGGAAATGGCGAAAGGCAGAAACGGCATCCACATTTGACCAGCAGCCAACCACAAGAGTGGTATATTGGGGTGATGTGGTCAAAGAGGGATTGGCACACTCTTTGATTAAAAAAAAAATGGATGAGACTTTTTAAAATTTTTACTCCAGGGAATCCAATTTGTAGCCATTCAAACCAAGTGCTTTTGAGGTTTGTATGAATAATTTTTCTTCCTTTGCTGACAGCAAGCCTCCAAGCCAGAAATGTTTGACATTAGGGAAGCCTTTCCAAAGCTTAGGGTTCTGGGGAGAAGACCAGCTGGGGGTTGGGTAGGGTTTGGTTGGAAATAAGGGAGGGGGATTAGAAGCATGATGAAGTCTCTGAGATTCTTACAAGATTTACAGTTTGGCTTAGGATTTGAAGATCATTTGGGGTCTAAAAATAGATCCTCAAACAGCAATATTCTTAGATTCACACCCTCTGTAAGATTTCTCGTGCTCCTTGCTGATTGTACCTGAGAGAGATTTTTCTCTTGAATGTTGGTATGTGCAAAATGTCATTCATCCACTCCCTCATCCAATCAACCGACTTTACGTTGAATGCTTGCTGAGATGGAATCAATGTTCATCCAGGGTATGAAGATTTCCCATCCCCCCCATCATTTCCTTGCTATCCCCACTGGTCAGTGAGCTGCTAATTTAGCCACATGTGGGTATCTGCTGGACGTTTCAGAGTCAGCATCTCCAATACTAAACTGTGGCATCAGTCTCCCAGCCAGCTCTCTTCTTGGCTTTCTCATCTCAAGAAATGGTGCCTTCCATCCACCACTCACTCAAGCTAGAACCTGGAAGGCATTCTTGACATTTCTTCGGCTCTACGCCTAAATCCAACCCAGCATGTAGGGGGCTCTCAATCAACACTGACCAAAGGAACTGACAGGTGGTTGAATGAGAAGGGGAATGAATGAACAATGCCTTGAGCTGCCTACACCTGCCATTCCAACCCCTGCAGGAATCTCTCATGTCAGGAAGCCACAGCTTGAGTAAGTGTACATCTGAACAAGGATTTTTACATTTTGAAAAACTCTTGCTATTTCCTGGAAACAGACTGTGTCTCTCTGATTGTCTGTTGGGGTTTTTTTTTTTTTTTTCTTTTTAACTGCTGCAGATCTTGGAACCAAACCAAAGTAATCTGCATTTCCATTTTTATATCTTAATTTATAAACTGCACCTTATAATTTACAAGCTTTCATTTGGTGTCTCTAACAGAGCCGAAACAAATTCTTACCCTGCCAGCTCTGCTACCCTACCCGAGTCTTCTCTCTGCACTCTTCCCTCTCAGGAACTTTCTAGTTTTTCAGATTAGGGAAAGGAAGGACAATAATAATGATGATATGTCACATTTACTTAGGAAAGAGAGAAGGTCTGATTACCACCACCACCCCATTTTACAGATGAAAAGATAGAAAGATAGAAAGATAGAAAATGCTTGCTTACAAATAGTGAAGTCAGGTTCAGAATCTTAATTTCCAGAATTCCTCATGCCAAGGGTCTTTCCAGGACACTAGGCGAGGGTCTCTCCACCTCAGTATCAGTAACATTTTGGTCTGGATCATTCTTTGCTGTGCATTATGGGGTGTTTACTAGTATCTCTGGCCTCGACGCATTAGCTACCAGTAGCACCCTCCCCACTGTGACAACCCAGAAGGGCCAAGTGTCACCACTGACTGAGAACCACGGTGCTAGACGGTATCCTTGTCCTTGATGAAAATGGAGGCACAAAAGTCAGGAAAATTCGTCTCTTTTTAGGGCCCCTCTTGGCCTCTGTCTCTCACCTCCAGACCCAGGGTTTTGCTGAGAACTGCACTGCCCACAAGATCACAGAGATTCCTGGTCAAACATCCAGTCCCTCTTGAGCGGAATCGGGTGCTGCGCATTCTTGGTCACCATTCACTCCCAAAGGTGGATACCAGCTCCCATTTTACAGGTGAGGAAATTGAGGCTTAAGAGGTTATCACTTGCCCACAGTTACACCCCGTTGGGGGCAGGTTGGTGATGGAGGGTTTACCTTCTAGACCCTTCCCCCTTGCTCCACTCCACAGGGCTGAGAGCCCAAGTTTCTTCTCCTGGGACAGCAGGAAGACCCCGCGCTAGGAAAGCCTCATCCCTCCTCTCCATAAAGCAGTAGCCCATCCCTCCCAAGCCTGGTGTCTTTCAGATGTGCAGCACAAACAGCCGTGATGGTGGGTCCACATGCCTGTTGCCTTTCTGAGAGTCTGTGTCCTCAGCTCCCAGCACTGGGCCCTGCTGAGGAAAGTCTCCATCCAAGGCCTGCCAACATGGCACTGAGGGCCTGACACAGCAAAGGAGACACCTTCTGGTTATGTCCTGTGTGAGCTTGGCCTCGAAAAGACTGTCTCAGAGCTCCGTTTTCCCATCTTTTAAATGGGAAGACCCCCTTCTTGGAGTGCATGTCACAGTGAGACGGTGATGAATGGAAACTGATAGACAAGGATGATGGTGCTGGAGAAACAATGCCCTCCAATGAACGTCCAGCTTCCTCTGTGAAGCTGCCCATAACAAACCCGCTCTCAGCTCCCGAACTTCTCCTGGTCAGCCTGGAACCCCCAGGCATCGTGTGGAGTGACTTCTTTAGGGCTCTTTGCCCAGCTGGACTTCAAGCTCCCTGGGGATCCCTAGGGCCCATCCTCTTGTCCCCTCCCACAGTGGCCAGCCCAGTTTGCACTCAAAATATTTGTGAGGGATCGATAATTGATGATTCCAATAGTAATAACCTTTTCCATTAGGTACTGCCTTTTCTGGGTATCTCTCTCTCTCTTTTTAAAGATTTTGTTTATTTATTTTATTTTAAAGAACAAGGAAGGGTAGAGGGCGAGGGGATGAGAGAATCTTAAGCAGGCTCCATGCTCCACACTGAGCCAGATTCAGGGCTGGATCTCACCCCCCTGAGACAAGGACCTGGGGCAAAACTCAGAGTCCCACGCTCAGCCCACTGAGCCACCCAGGCACCCCTCCGGGTACATCTTAACATACAAAATGATCTTCCTTGGCTAGTCGTCCGGATGGTGTCCTTGATTCTTTAGCCCCAGCAGTTTGGTCTCTTTGCCATTATTTTACTTCTGCTTTGGCCATTTTCTTTGCTTTCCCCGGGTCACACCACCTTGTGGTAAGATTCAAGCTCAGTGTATCAAACGTGCTGAGTGGAAAGAGGGGCTCTGTAGGGTCCCAGTCCCCATCCTGCTCTGGTCCCTATCCCTGCCCAGTCATCCACTCCTCCACCTCCAGCCAGCTACTGTGCCTCGGTTTCCACATCAGTGAATTGGGGAGATGAACAGGACCTGCCTCAAAAAAGTTAGCAGAAGACGAAATGCACGGCGCCTCGGATGTATCGGGCCGCCAATCTCCACTAACCCTTTCACTGGGGTCGGTGCGCTCCCCCCGAGCCTGCTGAGCGATGGAAAACTTTCCCAGCCTCTGTTGCTCTGTAGCAAGCCAGAGGCCGGCCCCGGAGCAGCAGGCAGGGGCGTGCACTGCTGCAGCCGCTCTCAGATCCTGCGTTCCTCCAGCAGGGAAAGGTGGCTGCCTTCAGTCACCCCCGGATGCTGCGGGAACCCTCGCCAGATCCCGCCGAACTCAAGGGCAAAAATTCACTTCATTTCGTCTCTTAAAAATTAGTGAAGGCTGCTCAGAATTCTGTACTCTTCAAAGCACCCAGCCATCAAGGAAGGTCCCCCGGTGCTACTTTTTTTTTTTTTTTTTTTTTTAAATTTTGGCTTCACACTTTGTCCCAGCTGAAAGGAGCCCAATGTCTTCTCCCCCAAATCATTTGCAGCCCTAGGAAGGACTGCGGGGATCTGAGCCCCCCGCCGCCCAGCCGGGCCCCCGGGAGAGTGGGCGGGGGGTGTCTCGGTCCAGGGCGGCCCCTCCCCCAAGGTCACCCAACTTTTCCCCCCCGCGGGTCCGCGGCTCCCAGGAGGGTCGGGAGTGTCCGGGCGGGGCGCGGCGGGGGCGGGCACCCGCCCCGCACTATTCATTGGCCAGAGCGGGCTGCGGGCGCGAGTGCTGATGTCAGGCGGGCGCGAGTGCGGCGGGCGCAGCGGCGGCGGCCGCCCAGCAGCCCGGGCTCGGGTGGGGGGGCGCGAGTGGGGGTGGCGGCCAGCATGCTGCTCGGCTGCGGCTCGGCCTCCCACACCCGCGGCGCCCTCGTCCTAGCCAGCGGCGGCGGCGGCGGCGGCGGCGGAGCAGCGAGCGGCGGCGGTGTCTGCAGCGGCTCGGGGTCCGAGCGCGCGGCGCGGCGGCGGCAGTGGGCGCCCGGGCGGGGAGCGGGCGGCGGGGACCCGGCATGGCGCTGCGGCGGGGCGGCGGCGGGGCGCTGGGGTGGCTGCTGCTGCTGCTCAGCGCCGCGTGCCTGATCCCGCCGGGCGCGCAGGTGAGGCGGCTGGCGCGCTGCCCCGCCACTTGCAGCTGCACCAAGGAGTCCATCATCTGCGTGGGCTCCTCCTGGGTGCCCAGGATCGTGCCAGGCGACATCAGCTCCCTGTGAGTGAGTGGGACCCCTCCAGTCCCCGCCCCACCCGGCGCCCGGCGCCGCTGGGGAGTTGCCTCTGGCGCTGGACCTTGCGACCCTGACCCCCACTTCCAAGCCTCTTTTCGGCGTTTGGGTGGGGGCGCGCTATGGGACGTGGGTGGAGTCTCGGGCCCCGGGGAGGGTAGAGGGAACCCGAGCCCCAGAGCCTGAGAACCCAGACAAGTCCCCGTGGCAGTGTTTCTTAAAGTGTGGCCCGCGGGCCACCCGCCTCAGACCCATCTGGGGGAGCTCGTGCCAATGCAGATTCCCGGGCCCGCGTTAAATGAAGCGGGGTCTTAGGAGTGGAGCCTTAGAGTCTGCATTTGGCGTCCCAGGTGATTCTGGGGACGCATTAAAGTTTGAGAGGAGGTGTGTGTGGGAAGGGTGGTTGGGTAGGGGCGTGAATGTGCGGCCCAGCGTGAGTGGAGTGAAGGTAAACAGGGGAGGAATGAGGCCTCATCGTCCCACCTCGCCCCTGTGGCCTCCTTCCCACCCGTCCACCCAGCAGGTTGGGAGGAACCCGAGTAAAGGCAGGCAGCCTCTGGAAGTGGGGGGCCACCTCCTGAGGCCTGGAAGAGGGGAGCACAGGGCTGGCAGAGCTTTGGGGCATGTGGGGCACCCAGGCCACTGGCCAAGCTCTGGAAGGCAGCCTGACTTCTTGCCCGGAGTTCACAAGCTTCTTGCCCCTCTCCCCACCACACATTAGGGTGGCTGCTTTTTCAGCGCTGCAGGAATTGACAGGAAGGGTTCACCTTACTTCTTCACCTGCTAAGAGATGCTTTCCACCTGCCCTCAAGCAACCATTCAGGCCCTACAGTGGGCTCTCCTAATGACAGTGGAAGGGCTACTGGGCCATAGCTTTACTGCTGGGAAATGTTTCCTGCTGAAAGAACTTCCTCCTTCCAGGGCTGGGTGCTGGGGTGATGCCCACTCAGTGAGACAGGGAATCCCAGGGGTGAAGTTGCTCAGGTCCTTGTACTACAGATCCCCTGCCTCCCACTCCAGGCAAGGCCCAGGAGTGAAGGGGTTCCCATTTGCACTATAGAAACTCTGGATGACCTGGCTGGCAGGAAAGGAGGGCCTTTTTTATGCCTAATGTTGCTAAGTCGTGTGACATGGAGGATTCCAGAAACTGGAATTCCCCTTGTTAAATCCTTTAGAACAGCAGCTGCTTAATTGATCTGCATGTTAACTGAAATAATTTCGAACTAATGTGTGGAGGTCCTGCTGTGGCTAGAAAGGATAGGGGACCTGGTCACAAAAATAGTCAAGCAGCTTGCCCCCCGCATTGACCATTATATCTGGCAGATGGCATTGCCTCCCATCGCACATTCAAGTTCAGGTGTCTCTTGAGTTTCCCCCCAAGGCTTTCACAGTACATTTAATCAGAAGTGCTCTGAGTGTCTTTCAAAGATGTGCTCCCAAGGGGAATGCTTAATCCTACCCCGGAGTTTCCCCTGCCAACATTAATGCTGTGTCTACACAAACAGAATCATGGCCAGAGGTGAAGCAATTTATCCATTTTCGGCCAGGGCCTCCTGTAGTTAAGAAAAGGAAGTGAGGGGATTGATTTAAACTTGCTGAGATAATGTCTGTGGAAGGAGCTAGGCTGATGGTAAAGGTTTCTATTATTCAGACTAGTTTTCATATTGATCCAGTTCATTGGAAGAAGGCTTGGCTCTTCTCATTTCTACCCCTGAGAAGCTCCTGGTTGACTATTTTAAGCCTCATCCTGCATGGAGGAGTTTGAAATACAGGTGGAGGATAATACTGGTTGCCCAGCCTGCAATCCCTTCTAAAAAAAAAACAAAAAACCCCAGGCCTTGTTTTGTTTCTTTCTTGCCTATAGGAGCCTGGTAAATGGAACATTTTCGGAAATCAAGGACCGAATGTTTTCCCATCTGCCTTCCCTGCAGCTGCTGTGAGTATGGGAGGTTCTCTCTGAAAATGGGGATCCTGAAGGTGCAGTCCTGGGAGAAGCCATCTCTGCCTCTTCCGTGTCAGTCCTTCCTTAAATACCCCAATAAACTCTTGGTGTTAACTGTCCTGTGGTGTCCCCACCTAACTGAGTCTCAGGCTCTTTGCTCAGTGTCCCCTCCTTCTTCTGACACATGTTTTCCTCGAGGATTTTATCATAGATCCCAACACTCGTATTTGGCAACTGGGGGATGTGATTACACTGAGTGATGGCCTGAATTTCACCTAAATGAAGTGTTTCCCAGACACCTCACTCTAAAAGAAAACCTGCATTTTAAACTCTTTATGTGTCTTTGGAAATAGAAGCATTTGTAGTTAACTGAGTATGTAAATGATTAGGCAGCATACTATACGTTTATATGGAAAATTTTATTTAATCATCCCTACAAGAGTATTTTTATTACCCCCTTTGACAGACAAGAAAACTAAGGCTCAGAGAAGTTGAGTAACTTTTCCAAAATCCCAGCCAGAATTCTTTTTTGTTTTTTTAAGATTTTTTTATTTATTTGAGAGAAAGAGAGAGTGCGCACACAGGCACATGAGTTGGGGGAGGGGCAAAGGTAGAGGGAAAGAGAGAATCTCAAGAAGTCTCCCCACTCAGCACGGAGCGCCTCACAGGGCTCCATGTCAGGACCCTGAGATCATGATTTGAGCCAAACAAAATCAAGGAAATCAAGAGTCAGACACTCAACCGCTCAACAAACTGAGCCACCCAGGCACCCCCCTCCCCACACTCATAGCTGCTCCGCATCTAGCCACTCTTGGCAAGTACTCCTGTCATGCCTGGTATCCCAGTTCAGTGATTGTTTGCTGAAGGAAAGAAATGTCCAAAAAGCAGTTTTCAAAAGCAAGTCAGTGATAGGCAAAGTCATGAGTACATAGCTCATTCTGTTTGTCCTGTTTCTTAAATTGGAGATGAGATTAAAAATCAGCAATGCACTATAGAAAAATATGAGGAAATAGCCATCAGGAGGTCACTTCTCCTCCTAACTAAACTTAGTGTTGATATTTTTGTTCTTGAAATATTATGGGCCTACTTATAACATTGTACTTAACATTTTAAAATCTGTAATTTCTTGGTAATTGTAGTTCTATTAAAACATATTTTCCATATGCTGGAAATACAATTTTAGGTATCTCACCAAATAGACTTAAGTGGTGACTAATAGAAACCTGTGTGCTGATAAAGAGGCTTCTGAAGATTTCTTAAGCTTTTTTATTATTTCCCATGGGAATGTATAATATAGAAAAAAAGGATTTTTTAATTTTTTAAATTTTTATTGTTTTGGTCTCAGCTGTGTGACTTTGGTCAAGTCACTTAACTTCTCTGGGCACAAATTTCCCCCCAAAATAGAGTCAGATTAGGTTCTTTTCCATCTCTGATTCCATGGTTACTTGTGCATGATAAAGCATTCACTGGCTGATCAGTTGTGTCGAGCATTGGAATGTTTTGAGAGAACAGCTTTCAGGTATTATTTACTGAGACCCACAGGGGAGAAAGAGTGAAGCAGTGGGGGTGACCAGAAAATCTAGCCAAAAGGAATCCACTTGCCACTGTCCATCAGCATCTGTGAATTCAGGGAAAGGAGCCAGTCTTAGGCTCAGAAGAGCCCATGTTTGCCCTGGATCAGAACACAACAAAAGAAACAGAAAGGGTTTCACTATGTTGCTTAAGGTATCCATCTCTGCGCTGAGATCTGTCCTCTCCTTTCAGATTGCTGAACTCTAACTCATTTACCGTCATCCGGGATGATGCTTTTGCTGGACTTTTCCATCTTGAATACCTGTAAGTTCAGTGCTTTGTCTCTTTGCTGAGCATCTGGTATGTCCATAGGGTCTCTGTATTGCTCTCCAAGCAGAACAGCATCTCCCAGAGAGCTTAGGGGTGGAGAAAATGGAGAAAACCCCCTTTTCTTTTCAGCACTGACCTTTTATAGTTTACTTGTGTATAAACATGCTGGGACAGTAGGGTGTTGGAGACAAAGCGGGTGAAAGCAAACAAAGAAGGAAAGATATTCATTCATTCTCTGCTGACATTTAATTTGGCATGTAGTAAGCACAATTGGAAATTGCGTTGGATATTTTTACCTCTCATAACTAGGCATGGATTTGCTGATCAGCCAGAAATAAAGCTGAAGGATTCTGAGCGTTACTTATTTTTAAGGAAAATCTCCCTATATGGGGATACACCTTCATGTTTTTAATTTGACTCTCTTCTATCCCATTTGCAGTATCTCCTGTGAGCTGCTGATGAGAGTCTAATTTTATTTTTTCTTCTTTAAAAGAAGAGGGTTTTGGTTTTTTTTTTCCTTTTCAGGTGTGCAGTTTTCTTCCCTTAGCAATGAGCTTTGCCCGTGTTCTGATTTCGTTTCCTGATTTCCTTTCCGATTTGCCCCTCCCCGCCCCCTTCTTGTCCGTTTCCCCTTTAAATGCTTTCATCCTTGTCTTTTGTAACTTTGTAATAATATTAATCTCACTATCAGATGGGATTTCTTTACTTAGCCTTCAGAAGGATTTTTAAAACCTCCTCTCTGCTTTCTTATCTGAGGTTAACAGGTAGATGTTTGAATTCTAAATGCATCCTGGGTCTAAGAAAACTCTGCTGATTTTATGTCCTTAGGAAGGAGGTCTCTGAAGGAATTCTTCCTCCCGAGTACACATAATATGTATACTTTCACAGAGCCTGATATTATATGCAATATGGAAAGTGGTTTATGACTGACATTCTAAGCCCTACTGGGTTCTATCAAAACACGGGAACAGCCGATGGTGCTAGCGAATGTAAAGCTATCAGTTTTCTCTCATGAGCAGTTCATCTTACTGCCAAGGTTATTGGGGGGAAGTTCGCTTATCAGTCTATTCTGAATTCTATTACTGAATAGACCCCCGATTTAAAAAAAAACCAGACATCAAAAAATGTCAGTACAAGAATCAAGAACTATTTCACTAATGAGTGGCATCGTGTTGTGTTGCAAAGCCTTTCCCCTGGACCATCTCACCAAAGACCCTCTTACATTTGCTGTCATGCAATGCCCTAAACTAAAATGTAGCTCCCTGTGGTCCTAGGGAATAGTTGGGAGTGAATTCGCTTCATGTATTTCCTGTAAAGTCTTGAAGCATGGTCAGAGTTATTACTGCAAGGTCCTGTGTGCTAGCCCTGAGCCATGTTAGCAAAGAGCCAGAAGTCTGGCCCATGCTCAACTTCATTATATTTCCTATTTTCTAGTGGCTTAGAGATCTTGAGAGAATCCTTGCCTTGTTATCCATTTGTTCAGAGATTAGACTGTGTAGGACATGCTGAAGTCAAGTGTGCCAGAAGCTGCGCTTAATGGAATTCTCCTTCGGCAAAAACTTGAAGGCAGAGATGTAAAACAATGGGCTCCCCCCAAGAGACAACGATATTAATGAAAGTATTAATAGCCAGGCACTGTGAAATGTAAGAAGGTTGGAGTGGTGGGGAAGATGTCTGGAAGCATTCCAGTCTTGCAGAGGTTTAAGAATTTCTTGCCTTTGTATAGCGCTTTCTTTTTTTTTTTCCCTTTTCCCCCAAGATGTTTTTACCCGCGTTGCCAGCTCTGAATGTGAAGCCTTCCATGCCGCTTCTGGAAGGAGCGCTGAACATAAGCTTGTATGCGCGCATTCTTGCACACAAACCCAGCTCCCTCTTGGCCGCCGCTGCGGCGACCTAACCCTCAGAGGCGAATGTTTCAAATTCATGCATGCTTTCAGATTTTGTTTTGAATGTCATTTTTTAGAGATACCAAGTCGAGAAAAATTCATTTCAATGCTACTGCTCTTCTCTTTAGGTTCATCGAAGGGAATAAAATAGAAACCATTTCAAGAAATGCCTTTCGTGGCCTCCGTGACCTGACTCACCTGTAAGTCCCGTGAAACATGGTGCAGGTCCTTTCATGGGTGGAATAAAGTCCACTTCCTGGTGCCTTGCTCTTTCTTGACTGTGCTGTCCATATTGGTAACATTCTCTCGAGGAAACTAATTTCCAGGTGACCCCAAAGGTTTCTGTGTTGGTGATAGGCAGCAGCCCCGTGTCATTACTCATGGACTTGGCTTTATGATCTTTTCCATCATCCTGATTGGCTGGTGTGGACGACGTGCCTGTATGGGCCATAAGGAACCCACTGAGCTGCTAAGGGTCGAGGGCAGCTTGGGAAGGAGGCGGGGTGGAAACCTTCACATACCTACTTCTGCTGACTTCCCTCCCGGGCACAGGCTCGCGTGCTTCGTGAGCCTTCTTTTCTTATCTTTCATGATATTTAAAAAATCTCCATTTTACAGATTTGGGAACTGAGGCTTCCATGACTCACTGAAGAATGTTGAATGCGGGATCAAAATTAGGGAGAGGTGGAATAGAGACATTTCTGTGGTGGCTCTAATTTGAATGCAAATAGCTTTTTTTCTTTTATGTTGGATTAATCTGCAGCTTAAGCTAAGCTCTCTGGCTTCTTTAATAGCTTTCTGGAGGAAAAAAAATTAAACAAGTTGATTTGAATTGGCATATCAGAATGAAGCAAGTGCACACACTTGGCAACTTAGGAAACCGGAAAAAATTGTGGCTGTGTTTAGGGAAATGCAAAAATAGTCATTGTCTTGGTAGGAGCAGTTTATTAGCCAGAAGCCAGGTCCCATGTGCATGATAGATACTTTGTGATTGAGTAAGATAACGTGTCTCATTCTGGTAATAAAAAGAAAACTGGGGGCACCTGGGTGGCTCAGTAATTAAGCGTCTGCCTTTGGCTCAGGTCATGATCCCAGGGTCCTGGGCTCGAGCCCCACATCGGGCTCCCTGCTCAGTGGGAAGTCTGCTTCTCCCTCTTCTACTCCCCCTGCTTGTGTTCCCTCTCTCACTGTCTCTCTGTCAAATAAACAAATAAAATATTTAAAAAAAAAAAAAGGAAAATTGGGAGAATCAGATGATGTTGGGTGGGGTTTGGGGCAGGGTTGCTAGAAACTTCAGCAGGTGCAGCCTCGGCTGCATACATCTAAGGAGATAAACATTTCAGTCCTGATACAGCCAAAGGTGTCCGTCAGCAAGCTCAGGGAGCCCTTGATTCTGGAATCCTACCAAGCAGAAGTCCTATCGGAGATAAATAAAGCTTGCAGACTAAGGAGATGAGGGAGGCGTGTGGGAGGGAGGTCTAAACATCTGGACTGGCACCATCAATGCCAGAGAGTATCAGCCTCTTGTTGCCATTATTGCTGCAGGTTTTCCTTCCTTTCTGGAAAAGTCTTGTTTTGTTGTAGTTGTTTTGTTTTCAGATTGAACGCAGATACCAAATCCCCATATTCCTGTAAAGGTTAAGATGATGGATTTGGAGTTACGTAGACTTGGGTTCAAATCTCAAAGCCATCATGTATTAACATGGCTTAGCCTTTCTGAGCCACAGTTTCCTTATCCCAACGATGCAGGTGATTATACTGACCCCACAGGACTATTGTACATGGTGGGTTAATGCTTGCCTGCCATTATCTGGACCGTTATCCTTGGAAAATGCTCAAGGGCTCAAGGTATGGTTGGGGTTGTTACCATCATCATCAACAGCAACATCACTGCCCCCCCCACTCATTAAGCAGTCTCTCCTTTCTTCATGGACTGCTGAGGACCCTTGGCAGTGCCAGTGGCCAGACAGGGTCTGCTAAGAAGACAGCTGCGGGTGTCTGGAGCACAGACAACAGGAACAGCTGTGGCCAGATAGATCTGGTTGCCGGAAGTCAGGAATGAGGGGCTTTGTTTTTGAGCAATAGCTCTCGGCAGATCATGAACCTGAGCAAAGACCATGTGACTGGCTGAGTTAAACCAGAGGTCAATTTTTATTTGACCAGTTGGCTATAGGTCCTTGGTTTGAACAAAGGTGTGACTGTGCAGGTATTGTGCATGTGTAATTGCATATCTTTGCACACATTTGCTCTGATGCATGGTCTCTGATACATGGGTAGACGTGTATATACTGTGTGTGTACATAACTGTGTGCGTGCTTGTTATCTGTCCACACGACCCCATGTGTATATAATGTGTACATATGTAGAGGCATCTCCTATTCTGTGTGACATGTAGCAAGCCAGAGACCTTTGGGTACTTTTTTTTTTTTTTTTTTTTTTTTTTAGAGAGAGAGAGAGAGATAGAGGACGAGGACGTGCACTGTGGGATGTGGGGGAGAGATAATGGGAGAGGGAGAGAGGACTCAAGTAGGCTCCATGCCCAGCTGAGCTCGACACAGGGCTCGATCCCATGACCCTGAGATCATAACCTGAGCTGAAATCAAGAGTCAGATGCTTAACTGACTGAGACACCCAGGCGCTCCAGGTCCAGAGTACTCCCGATGCAATAATACACCTGTCCCAGTGTGCAATGCCATCCTACAGTCAAGCCTGTGGAACCCGCCTCTCCCCAGCTCTCTGGCCTCATTTTCTGAAATGTCTGCAGAACACTGATCTCTCTGTGGACCCCTATGCACACCCAACTCATCCTATTACTCACATCCCTCCCTTGACCCAGATGTTATTTCTTCTACCCTCCACCTCCTGTAATCTGCTTTTCCTTCAAAGTCCAGGTTAAGTTCTGTCTCCCCACGGAGCCATTCTTGATCTCCCCTCTGCCCTTCCTGTAGCCCTTGCTCTGACTCCACACCCCCAACTCCCGACCATGGCAGGGGCTGTACCCGTTGGTACTGTTCCATGATGTCAGTTTGATCCCCCTCTGGCTGCACTGAAAGTTCCCTGAGGGCAGGGCCCAGGCAGATGGTTCATTAGCGCTGCTCTTCCCCGGCATCTAGCTCAGGGCTGAAAGCCAGCACGACATTCTTTCTGATTCCCTGGTTGATCAATGGGTTCCTTACTGAGCTGGATTTTCCTTATGTACTGTGCTTCTGGACAAGCTAAGGGATTTTCAAAATTGACTCCTCAGGTTGGAGATATAGATAGTAATTAAAGCATTTAATACACTGTTTAAAGAATGAACCAGTGCTCCCCACTTCATCCCAGTTTATGTAAACTTCTAAGCAAAGAGAGCAAGAATTCACTATCTGGAATTTGCTTATATAATTATCTGGTTTTTATCTTTTATGGCTTTTTCCAACACCTACAGGCTCACATTCTTGTTCTCAAGAAACACATATCAGGTTTCAAAGCATTGAAGAAGCAATCCCAATCGGTAACTAAAATCTAGGCCATTTGTTTTCCAGCAGTCCTATGAAGCCCAAGGGACAGGTTGCCGTTAAATAGTTTTAGAAATGAAGTAAGTGCCATAAATTTGTAGACAAAATGAAGTGGAAAGGAGATGTTATGCACTTAGCGTGAGTGCAGTGAATAGTCCATCTAAATAATTTGGCTTTCTGAAATCTAAATTGAACACTTGGAAAGGTTGCTAAACATACCGCTTTTTTTAGCTTTGATCAGCCCATCTATTCTTGTCCCTTCAGTACAATACGTTTCAATTAACTAAAAATGTTTAGCTAAATAATTAACCTTTAATTAGCTAAAAAAGCTGTTTGGGCTTTCCAGAAGAAGTGACCATCAACCAACAAAAAAGCAAAACAAACATTTTTTTTTTTTTAATTTTAGAAAGCTACTTCTAGGACATGTTCAGTCTGATCCCATATTCAGCCTATTTTCCAACATCTTTTAAAAATGTACCAATAAATCATTTAGGAAAGGAAGATAAAAGAGTAGATGAAATTGTATTTTAATCCATTTGTGGTTACCTAGGTGGGAAGGCACATAATTCTGAAATGATTAGGTCTCCCCAGAGTCTCTTGGTATCTTGCAGGAGGCATGTGCGGGTTAAAATGGGCTCAGAGCTTTCTCTGCGAGCTGATGCTGAGGAGAGAGGAAGGCCCATTTCCATAATTTCTCTTTCTGCCATGGATCACTATGAGGCTACAAAAGGCTAATTTCATACATATATTTTAAAGAGGTTGGCGCTGACTTGCCTGTGCGTTTATGATTTATGTGTCTTGCTGTTTGCACTCACCCATATAAAAGAAAACAAAAGCAGGCATCGGTTTCCTGGCTGATTCCCGTTAGAACACGATGCCCAGGGGGGAAGCACAGATTTGATGTGTGTCTTTCAACACCCAACGCCTCGCTACATCAACAGCCCAGCACCACGGACATCCGTCTTCAGCAGGATGATGACAGGGCACTGCATGATCCTGAATCATCAGAAAAAAGGGTTGACGATATTTGTTCTTCCTGGAGAGGGAGAACAGACTAGGATGTTTTGAAAAGATCTTCAACAGAAAGAGCAAAAATGCAAAATGGCTTCTGGTCAACCTTAGTGAAAAGATGAAATTGATCACAGTCAGCCGTTCTCTAAACATTTTAGTTCATGGCGATTTTTATCTTATCATGAGGTTACAGCTGAGCATCTTTATGTGAAAGAGTAATTTACTGAATCCTTTATAGAGTCACAATTCATAGAATTCACTTAGACTGTGAGGGAGCTTCTTGGACAAGACTGTACACCTTTTCTTTTATCTTTCTCACTTGAGTGCTTCCTTCATTCACTCAACGAAGACTTAGTGAGCACCAGCTATGTGCCAGGCACTGTTTAGATGCTAGGGATGCAAATGTGGACAAACCCAAAAATCTCTGTCCCTGTGTTGCTTATGTACAAGAAGAACACACAGCCAATAAATGAATAGATCATTAAAATAGGTAGTATGCCAAGGGACAGCTGTGCAGTGAGGATCAACAGAACAGGGAAGGGAGATGGTAGAGGTCAGGGAATGGGGGATTGCTGAGGGCGGACCTAAAGGAGAGTGAGCTGTGTGTTGGAATGAGCTGTGTGGGTAGCTGGAGGAAAAATGTTCAGGCAGACGAATCACAAGTTCGGAGGCCTCGGGGTGGGAGCGTTCCTTGAACATTTGAGCTGTAGCGGAGGGGCCAGTGTGGGTGTTCTGAGAAGTGAGATTTAGTCCATCAGTAAGTGGGAATCGGGGTAACTTGACAATGGAGAGTCTTGTATGCCATCAGAGATTTGGCTTTTATTCTGAGAAATACAAGATGCCATCCAAAGTTTCAGAAATGTATATAAACAAAGAGCTTGATAAATGCTTCCTTAGAAAACAAAGCCAAAAAAACTTACATTGTACTCTAGCATCTCTAATGCTGTCTTTGTAAAACAAAACTCATTTCCTTATCTCAGTACCAATGCGCAAAGCCAGAAATTGAACCGTGTTGTGCCGAAGGGGGTCAGAGCTTTGTTTTAAATCATTAGCTTTGTTTCAGGGACTTCAGAATGACAGGGCATGAGGATAATAACCCCATTAAAATATGACTTTCTTGTTCTAGTTCTTTGGCCAATAACCACATAAAAGCACTCCCAAGGGACGTCTTCAGTGATTTGGACTCTCTGATTGAACTGTAAGTAAGGAAAATTAAGTTTATGTGTGCCTGTCATTGTGCCTCAGTTAATCTTGTCTTTAAGCCCCCTCTCCCCATTGCTGCATTTCTTTTATGTTGTGGTTAGAAATCGGTGACAAAGAGTGCATGGTGGGAGACAGCATACAGTTGATATTGTATTCGTTAGGTCTTGCCCTATTGGAATACACTTAGTGACATTAGGCCACTGGTAAGGTAGGATTGCTGGTGTGAGGTTTCCTTTCTCAAGATGGCGGATCCCTCTGCTTTATCTTCTTACTGGACCTTGTTTTTATCTTTATCTTCTTACTGTCACTTCTTACTGGATATTGTTTAACAAGATCTTAACGTTTCGATCATGTTCATGAAAACTATCTTCTTAGAATGTTCTGATTTTGTTTGTGAGAACCTGCATCTTGGGACATGGTGTTCTTCTGTCAACCCTGTCCCCACTTCCCCATCTCCAGCATCGCCTGGTGACAGTTTCAGAAGAGTTTGGAGATACGGTGATAGGTTAGCTCTGTGAGCTCTCTGCGGGCTCTAGTTAAAATCATGGGCACCGAAGATCATTAAATACAGTCAGTGATAAGTACAAGAAATAGGATGCATTAAAAATAATTTTTTTTTAAATTTCATTTTTGGGGGGTATTTAATACATGAGGATGTTAAATCATGCTGGAGTGTCATACGACTGCTGAAACATGTCAGGCCTGTCTGTTTCTCTGTCTATGTGTTTGCATTTTGTTTTGTTTTCTAGCGATTTAAGGGGCAATAAATTTGAATGTGACTGCAAAGCCAAGTGGTTGTATCTGTGGTTGAAGATGACCAATTCCACGGTCTCCGATGTCCTCTGTATTGGTCCACCAGAGTATCAGGAGAAGAAGCTAAATGATGTGCCCAGCTTCGACTATGAATGTACCACTACAGGTATTCCGAACCTCTGTCACTGGAGACCGTTATGGAGGATAATCACTCTGTTCTTCTTCTAGATCATCCACGGGGAATGGAGAAAAGTGGGTGTAGAGGTGTTCTACCCAAATTATTTTAGGTGACGTTTAAATGTTCTAAAAGAAATGACGTGGTCAGGAAAATATCCCAGAAGTTTGCAAGGATTTTTGTTAACTGTCCTTTGCCTTAATTTTGGTTGCTTACAAAATTGCAATTTCTCTGAAGTTTTTATTTGTTTTTTTTTTAAGGGTCAAAGTATAAACTGGTGAGTTGGGAAGAGGTACACGCACAAGTCAGGTGGAGCACAGAGAGGCCCGTGCTCCTGCTCTCAGGGTCCATGGTGGCCACACCGCTCCTGATTGAATTATGTGAAGTTTATTGAACATCCAGCTAGTAAATGTCAGCCTTTAAAGATTTTTTTTTTTTTTTTTATTTGACAGAGAGAAAGAGATCACAAGTAGGCAGAGGCAGGCAGAGAGAGAGAGGGGAGGAAACAGGCTCCCTGCGGAGCAAAGAGCCCGATGCGGGGCTCGATCCCAGGACCCTGGGATCATGACCTGAGCCGAAGGCAGAGGCTTTAACCCACTGAGCTACCCAGGTGCCCCGTAAATGCCAGCCTTTAACATCCATAAATTCCTTTTGTGGTTCTACGTACCAAGAGATAACTTGGTGAATTAGAAGCAATGGCAAAATAGAAATGGAAGGGAACAACTAGCTATCTAAAGAAAAACACTCCTGTTGAGGAAAAATGTAAAGAAATTTTGATTTTCCATTTTTCCACAGCCTGCCTCAAGGTTTCCATTTATGCATTTTACAGGTTCTAAGACAAAATTAGAATACTAACGGCCTCCCCTGTCACATCTTGTGGGGGAGCAGGGAAGTATCTCCGTCCGAAAGGCCTTGGTGAGGTCTCTCCAGCTTCTAAAGCCAGCTTTTAAAGGAAAGCAGATCAATCCCCAGTATGAAACCTGCTTACCAAACTTATAAAAATAAACATTTCAGCTGAGAGCTGATATCTGCGAAGCCTCAAGGCATGTCAGTGGGAACAGCAGGCAGGAGAACTCAGAAAACAGCGACAGAAACTCAAAAGGCAAAAACAAAACAAACCTCCAAGAACAAACTGTGACATTTAGGCCAGTCCTACTGCTGCCTTCCAAGCAAACAAACAAACAAGAACTCACAGAGCAAAAACTATTTCTAGATATCTGAGTAAATAAGGGACCTGACAAGTTCTGTCTTTACCAGGAGAAAAGGTGCAGGTGTGTGGCTGCCCTTGTCTCCCAGCATTGTGAAGGGCCTTATTCAGCTGTGTAATTGGCCGGTGCCCATTGGCCAGCAGAGGCCATGAGCAGGATATTTATTATATCGCAGAGCAGTGCAATAAATCAGAGGTCATAGTCAATGACATTTGCACCGAAAGGTGGCATTCAAGCCCATTTGGTGTGAAATGCCAAATCACAGCTCACTGGGGTGCCTTTCTGTCTCCACTCCAGTTTTTCTAGAGAGTTCTCTATCTAAACCCCGGGTGAGATGAGCCGCTTTTTCATTGTTCTCTTCACGCCTGGCCAGAGTGGCTGAAAATTTGGCCAGTCTCTGGGAGACATGCCATGGGCTATCCAGGGCCTGGAACAGGGAATAATTTATATGAGAAAACATGATTTCTGATTTTTGCACCCTGGGGACGGTTATGAAAATGATCTGGGCTGTCAGAATTGTCACGAGAGGAAAGGGGGCTTGGAACCAAGGTAGCCATGTCTGGAAACCTGTCCTAAACCCAGAGAACCCATGGGGCAGCATGAGCCTGCTAACATTTTAGGGCATCCTCCCTCTCTTATATATATTTGTCTTTGCTAGAAACCTTCCTACTAAAATTTAGATCGTCAGCACTTCTCCCTGGTAATAGGCAGGTGATGACTCTATCTTTGCTACCATCTTCTCCCTTTAAGACTGACGAACAAATTCGCTTTTGCTCACGGTTTCTTCCATCAAGAATAAATGGTGTGCCCCAGCGGGATCTACCCCCAGATGTAGTCTGGAAGAACAAAGTCAATAAATTCTGAGTCTTTTTGGTTCCTGTCTTCCGCTCATATCAAGCCTTGTCCTTTGGTGCCTTATTAAAGGCCGGGAGGGAAACGCATGAGGACGTATGGCAGCTAGAAAGCCCAATGTAAGAGCCTGGGGACTAGTGAGGACAGCGTCCTTCCTACATTTTTGGTAAGAAGTACACTGTCTGAGGGCATTATTTTTCTCTTAGCTCAGATTTTCAGGAAAGGCATAAATCCTTCAGGTAGAGGAAAATCTTGTTCTTCCCGAGAGAGGGAGATTGTGTTCTGGCGTCCGGGTATAATTAACAAGGCAAAACCACCGCCGGACTGTTTCAGCTTCTAGATTAATCACCGTCCTTCCATAACCCTCCGCTTTCAAGTCTATTTTTAACCACCTCAAAAATCCCTGTTACCTACTCATGATTCCCCATGTCAGGTGGATAATTCGCTAAATTCCTTAGAGGGAGAGAATTTTGCATCCTAATTGTCCTGTTAGCCTCCCTATTGCTGGGCTGATGAAATGCAAAGAGAAATAATGCATTAATGTGCAGTTTCTCTCCCAATAGGATCCGTGTCATGTATAATTTATTTTCTGCAAGAGCTATAAATAGCTATGTAAAAATCTGTTGATTCCAGTGGGAGCAAGGCCTAAATTGTAAGCGTCCCACTGACATCATGAACTTAATCCAACGTGAATGGAAGTGGCCGAGCTTTGTGCGGAGAATGCCATTAATATTTTAACACTCGTAAATTGATGTTATATCAATATGTATATTGTTGGAGATCTTTGCATGAACAAATGTGCTTTTGCTGGTCATGAAAGATGAATTAAAATGGAGACGGTAGAGTATCTTAAATTCCTCCAGCACCTCCCCTTGCACACCCCACCCAATACATAGTGATCCGTCATTTTCTTTTAGACATTTCTTCCTCCTTCTCCTCCTCCTTCTCCACCCTTTTGGGGGTTGGGGTGGAGGACGGGGAGAAGGACTCTCCTATTAAGAATTAGATTTATAATTCAAATGATTTAACAGTCTGTGTTGTACCAGATAGTCAGCATATAGAAAATATTATGAAACCAATGTTTTGGGAAAACAAATGAAAATAGTACCGTTAAAAGCTAGATTTGTAAAATGCTGTCTAATTTTGGCAGCTCTCTTTCGTTCTGAGATTTTTTTTAATAAAAAATGGAAACTTTCTGGTCTGCCCTTTAAACAGCCTGCATTTGTCAGGGAATGCTCGTGTTTCTGAGATGTCAGCGTGCAGGCGGGAGACTCGGATCGGAGGCAAGGCAGAGGTGTTCAGACACTTCAGGTTTGCGTTAGCAGAAGGCAGCCCGAGAAGTAGAAGGGGCCTGTGGCTGTCTCAGAATTAAAAGAATGCAGCCGTATTGTCAGAGTCCTTTTCTGTCTCCAGAAAACGGAAGCAGACTATGACGGCTTACCATTTTCCTTTTTCTGTTTATCTACTGGTTGAGTTTTGTCCGTTTTTACTCTTTGATAGAGCAGCAGCTGGGGGGCAGGGGGTGGTGTTGACAAAGGGGTGGGGCTGGGAGCCGTTGTGATCCTAAGTGTTCATGCGCCAACTCAACACGGCCATTGTTCAACAGCATACAAAGCTAGCACATAAAGCTACGGTATCAGACTCCCCATACACGAGGCTCTGCTGCTAACACTTGACGCTCTCTTACATAGTCTCTAGGGCAACCTCACGACATAGGTGTCGCCCTTACTGATGCGGACCCTGAGGCTCGAGTTTCTTGCCCAAGGGCACAGAGCTGCAAATAGAAGCGGAACCAGAAGCCCAGCAGGTCTTACCTAAAGCCTCAGCACTTGTGGATGCTCTGCTCCTGGCTGTGGTGGTGAGGGGATCCCCATCCACTACTGTCATTTGTCCCTGCTCTCCCTTGGCCACGTCTTGCTGTCAGGTGCAGAGGTGGCCTCCTCTTTGCTTCTCCCTCTTGTCCCTGCACCTACCTGCGTGCATCATTCGTTCATCCCCAACCTCCTTCCCACACCATCTTCAGAGTATTTATTAATCGCCTACTGTGTACTCAGAATAGGGATAGGGACAGCTCCAAAAGTGAACATGTATTGAGCCCTCACTGTGTGTGACACACAACTCCAAGTAGAATTAAACTATCCAATGAGGACACTAAGCCAGACAGAGGTGGGATAACTTCTCCAGGGTCACTCAGCAAGACATTGGAGTCACAGCTCTGCTGTGTTGTCTTAGATGCTATTAGGATGGACACTTCCTCAAGAAACAGCACAGGGTTGGGTGGGACAGGGGAGGCAGGCTGTCCTTTCTCAGACCTCAATTCCATATTTATGAAGCATCTACTTCATGCCAAGCCCTGAGATGGGCATTTCCACCAACATTACCGGTATAGCCCTGCCATCAAGCGTGGTAGGTAAGAATCATTCCCATGTTACCAAAGTAAACTGAGGCCTTGTCAGGGAAAGGGCACAGCCCTGGGCCTCAAGTGCAGTGAGTGGTTTCAGGGGGTCTGAATCCAGGAACAGGGCTCTTTCCTGTGTCTCATGCTGCCCTCATTCCCTTAGCCCTGTTCCCTTTTCCCCCGTCCCTGATATCATCAGGGATCATCAGGGATACCTTCTCTTCTCATCCCCGCTCTACTCTTCTCACCTCTCAGTGTCTCTCGGTCTCTCCCCTCCTTTTCTGCATCTGCCCCATCTGCCTTATCCTGCCTCTGCTCACCAGGGTTTTCTCAAAGGAGCGACTTCCCTTAGCCAGACGCCCACCACCATTTGACCCTGGGTGCGTTTAACCTGCCAAGAAACCAGAAACTGAAGAATTTCTAGCCCTAGAAATCACTTACCTTAAGCTTCCTTAGTGTTTGGTTTGTTTGTTTTTTTAATTCCTTCTTCATTGCTTCTCCAGCTCCCTCCACACTAACTCTCCTTTCATCCCAGGGCACCGCTCACCCAGTTCCTTGGTAAAATGGTACCTCCTTACCAAGAGAACACAGTGAGTCAGCGGTAGCTCAGGGGGCCTTTGGATGAGGAGTGTTGACTTAATGTTAAACGTAGGAATAGAACACATGCTCGGATGGGACGGTCCCATGTGGCATGACAATCCCGCAGAACTGTAATTATTCATGGAGACGTGGGACACTGTCCAGATCACAGACATAGCTGTTGTTCACCCCTGAGTCCAACAACCAATAAACGTGCTTCAGTTAACTTCCCTGCTCTCCGGGCTTCAAAAATCTCTGGGTCTGTATCAGAGGGCTTGGTTTGGTTCCCACAAGCGCAGTGTGCCCTGCGGGGAGTTTACTTTTGGTTTTGAACCTGGAGTAGGGGAGCGTGGGAGTTTCACAGCTGCTGAAACAATCGCTTGGGCAGGTAAGCTTGAGGAGCGCCCCAGCAAGCAAACCGAGACAGGCTTTTTGCTTCCAGGGCCATCCTGAGATGGCTAGAAATAACAGCATCTCCCAAACCAATGAGACCTCCACAGCGCTTCCCCCAGAGTGATTTTCACGATTGTTTCTGGAACGTTGTTTCATGGCATCTTTTCGCTGGTGTTTTTGAAAGCCAGATTTCACCAAATTTGTTTAAAATGTTGAGATCCGGTAGCCAAGCCATGAGCTAGTGGTCTCAAAGAAACTGCATTCGAAGCTGTGCATTCATTATCCTCTCCAAGGCAGGACCCTTCTGGAATCGTCCAGAGTAAAACATGCTGTGATGTGTGTGTTGCTTCTCTCTGGTCCTCCCTCCTCCCCAGTCCTCTTCCAATCCAATGCTACAAAGGGTAGAAGGGTAATGGTGGGCGATAATTCCCGCAAAGGATCTCATGGAAACTTTTTTTTTTAATACCCATTCCCAGATTTTGTTGTTCATCAGACTTTGCCCTACCAATCGGTTTCAGTGGATACGTTCAACTCCAAGAATGACGTGTATGTGGCCATTGCTCAGCCCAGCATGGAGAACTGCATGGTACTGGAATGGGACCACATTGAAATGAATTTCCGGAGCTATGACAACATTACAGGTGTGTTGTGACTTCGATCAGATGTCTTGACCTCGTTTCATTATGGTCTTAAGCTGGTGAGAGAAGCAGAATTCTGGCATCCCAGGGAGGGAAGGTGTGGCTCTCAGACTTGGTTCCAACCCACCCTCTTCTCTCTGATTCCTTCTCAACTTGGTCAGTTATTGGTGAGAATGAAACCAGGGGTGGTGATCTTATTTATCCTTTGTGATTCTTTGAAGAGGGAGAGTGGATGGGTTGGATATAGTAGGAGGCATTTTCCAGTAGTGGTGAGAAGTCACCTGAGAATGCCTTAATCCTGAGCACTTCAGGCAGCCTAAGACTGCAATAGCATTTTAGTAGCTAAATGATACTTTAGACTGTTGCTATGCTGATAGTTAACTAAAATGCTAACATGTGCTCATGCGCACATGCTCATGCACACACGTGGATGCACAGACACACATTCATCCATGCACACACAGACACACATCCATGCTCACACACAGATACACATCCATGAATGCACACATACACAGACACACATCCATGCACACACACACACACGTCCATGCACATACACACAGAGACACATGCATACAAGCACACACAGGCACACATCCATCCATGCACACACACAGAGAGACATGTCTATGCGCATACACACAGACACACACGCATGCACTCACACACAGACACACATTCATGCATTCAAGCACACACAGGCACGCATCTATCCATGCACGCATGCACAGGCACACATCCATGCATGTATGCACATACAGACACACGTCCATACGTGCACACACAGGCATACATCCATGCACACACACATGTATGCATGCACACAGAGACACACATCCAAGTATGCATGCACACATAGACACACGTCCATGCACGCACACACAGGCACACATTCATGCATGCACACACAGACGCATGTTCATGCACATACACACATGCGCACATCCATGCATGTACACACACATAGACATATGTCTGTGCGTATACGCACGCAGAGACACACATCCATGCATGCACACACAGACACATGTCCATGCAAGCACACAAGGCACACATGTACACACATGTATGCATGCACGCAGAGACACACATCCAAGCATGTACGCACACGTAGACACACGTCCATGCATGCACACACAGGCACACACAGGCACACTCTATGGCTTGTTTCGGCTACCCTCTTGCCAGGTCTTGGTGATCACTGTTTCCTTGAAATAAATAAAAAAAAAAAAAAGAATAAATGGCTCTCTAGATTCATGCCTTTGGGTTAAGACCTAGTTAATGTTTCTCAACACTGTCAGGAACCCAGTGTCTCAACGCTACTAAAAATGGGCTGTCTACTTGGTTTTTATTTTTCTAATTTTTTTTTTACTTGCTTTTTAAATAAGTGGGTAAAGTCAATAATCTTTTAAAGACTTCTCATTTATCAAGTACAATCTGATAGTAATATTGACTTCAGAGACAGCACCACAGTAGCCTAACTGTGACTCCATGAGAGGATTTCCCACGGTGGGTCCCGATTTGGAGTTAGAGCAGTACTTTGCTGTTGCAGTGAGAAGCGTGTCAGGTCAACATTCTGGATTGAGAAGCTTCTAGGAAGCTCGGAGGCACAACGTTTTGCCGCAGGTGCAGGGGTGGGAGGAGGCAGGGAGAGTGTTGTTTGGGAACTCCCAGAGCAGAGATGCTCAGAGCCTGATCTTAGCAGTACAGGGAGCTCTGTGAAGTGGACAGACACCCCGGAAGTCCTGAAGATGCCCTGTCAGATGTCCCTTGGCTGTGTGGCCCCTGGCCTCCTAGTGCTGAGCTCACACTCCAGCAAGCAGCCCCGCCCCCGTCAAGCACACATGCGGTGCAGAGCACCTCAGGTGAACCTGGCGAGGAAGCCCAGGCCTTTGGACCCTAAACCTGGTCCATATTAAAGGGGACAAGGAAGGGAAGACCCGCTATCCACATACTCTTTGCTTCCCTCTTTTTCCAGACCTGGGAGATGGGCTAGCCCCTCGGCCTCCCCTCCTCCTACCCCATGCTGGGTGGTGGGACCAGAGGGAAGCTTTGCTTTGTGCCAGGCAGGGGAGGGGGGTCCACACCAGGGCTGGTTGCCAAGCTGGTGAGGTCCTGGATGCTGGTTTATCTTGTGGGAAATTCACAGCCCCTGGAGATCTCAGCATGGGGTGCCTGCCTGCAGGTAGAGGACAGAAGCTCTGTGCGGGGGGGAAATGGATAGAGAGATGATGAAGAGCTCGGGTTATGGAAACTGATGAACATGGATTGTACTCCGGACTCTGCCAGGCACTGAGATAGAATATGGACTGTGGCCCCTGGGGCTCAGTTTCCTCATCTGCAGAATGCGCAGCGCATGTACTTTATATGGCTGCTGTGAGGAATCAGGGGGTGCCAGGCACCGAGTGAGCAGTTCTTAATGAATGTTGGCTTCCTTCTCCCACCTTTACAGATGGAGCGATCAAGGCCCAGGCGTGCTGAATCACTTCAGAAGCAGAGCCCAGGGCCTGTCGCTACTGCTTCCACCCCTTTCCTCTCTCAGGTTGACCTCGGTAGGAAGGGACGGCACTGCCCTCCACTTGCCCTTCTGACCGACTGCAGTTGATCGCATTCCATGTTCATCAAGTTCTTCGTTTGTTCATTCATTCATTCATTCATTCATTTACAAGGGTTTCTTGAGCCCTTACTCAGTGCTAGGCACAGTCTTGGTGCTGGGGCCATTGCTGTGCCCAGGCCAGATGAAACCAAAAGATAATTATAATACAGCTAACACATCAGATAGAAACACACTAAGAAGGGAAAGGAAGGGGGCGATGGGAGTTTTGAAGAGCTGGTCATGGTTGACATTTTAGACTGTGTCTGGTAGTCCTCATGAGCAAGGTTGTTTGGAGAAGCTGAGTGGGACATGAGGGGTTGATCCATAGCAACAGTTTGGGAAGGAAACATTCCAGACAGAGGCAACAGCAAGTGTAAATGTCCTGCGGCAGAAAGTTATCTTTCCTGTCTGGCTCTTCCAGGGGGCCATTTTGGCCTGAACAAAATGCTCCAGAGGGAAAGCTGCAAGGAACAAAGTCAGAGAGGTAGGGAGGGCTGAGCACAGGGGCCTTGCAGGTCCTGGGAAGGACATGGGTTTTTAATCTGAGTGCTCTATGGAACAAAGCAGGCTTTGTCCCACGGTCAGCAGGGTTGCCCAGGATGAGGCAGGGGCCTGGCACAGGTGCTGGGCTGTGAGCAGCCTGGGTTGGGAACAGGGGACAAAGGCCGAAGCAGAGCAACTAGCTGAGAAGCTCATAGGGGTTCCGAGTAAGCGATGATGGCAAGGGTCCTGGGAAGGCTACCGCCATGGTGTGTAGGAAGCCTGCAATGAGGGAGCACTGGGTGTGGCCAGGGCCAGAGCCAAGGCTGGGCCTTGCTAGCTTCTAGTGACTCGTTCTCAATCTTCCGAGTCTTGGGAAGCTTCCCATGATGCCCACCTAGATCCTCTTCACAACCAAGCCTGAGAAAAAGTTACAATAGTGGGGTAGTTCAGCCTGTGAGCTCCAAAAACATCAGGCTGGTTTTTGATAGAACTGGCTCCAGCTCTTTCTAGCTGGTGAACTTGGCCAAGTTAGTTACTTTCCATGAGCCCCTTTCATCTGTAAAATGGAAGTATCATGAAATCTCATTTCATCTCTAAAATGGGATCGTCATCCTTTCAGACCCATGAGAGTTTAATGGGGATCATGTGTATAAGGCTTTGCACAGGGCTGGGCATATAGTAAATCTGCAACAAATGTCAGTTTTATTACCTGGGATAAATAAAGGAGCAGCCCTCGTTCTCCCTGCTCCCAGTCCCTAAATCTTTCACTTCAGGTAAACTTCTCCACAACTCTCATCAGCACAGGAAAGGAGGGGCCAGCACGGAAAGCACACTACACCCCACCCCCTGCCCCCAGCACAGGAGCAAGGGAAGAGGGTGTTCTTAGAAGCCGCAAGGATCCCTCTGCACAGAAGGGAGTATAGCTGGCTGGGATTGAGCCCCACGTGAAGGTGAGCCCGAGGCAACCCATGCCCGGCAAGACCAGGGCTCTGAGCCATGGGAGGGGCACATACATGCATCTTCCTTTGGCTTTCGGAGGAGCCAGGAGTGTGGTGCCAAAGGGACAGCTCCAGCCACGCCTCCACTTCTGGGCTTCTGCCAGGAGAGGGAAAGCCCCTATCAGGGTCACCCTGAAGGTTTGCATTTCCCATCTCCTTTCTTTCCTCTTCTCAGCTCTCCTGTTTTGGGTTTTATTTTGTTTGCCTTTGATTTCTCCATGCCAGGTGTGTTCCAGCCTATAATCTCTCTTCCTGCATTAAAACATGTGCACACACACATGCACGTGCGTGGTGATCTCTGTTGCTACTGACAGTTCTATAGACTAAAAGTGTTTACTGGATGGAGAGGTTCTAGCACATCTCTGTCTTACACAGCCCCTTCTCTGAGAAAGGCAGGCAGGCAGGCCTGTAGGACACTCCTGGGTGGCAGGGGCCTCCCTAGCTAGGCCACTCAGGAAGGGGGCCCGGAATATGCACTGGCACTTAGCATTGGCAGGGAGGGAGGCAGTGCGGCTTCCAAAGAGCAGTTTGGTAGTTTAAATCCAGAAGCCTTTGAAGTGTGCACAACGTTTACCCCGGCAACGCCTACATTTAAGAACACTGCCAGATGGTTTTCAAAAAAGATTTCTCTACAAGGAAACATGTTACGCAAAATAATGAAAAGCTAGAAATAACCGCAATGTCCAACAATAGGGGATTTGTTAAAAATAGGATACACCCATACAACAAAATGTCTGATAGTATTTAAAAATCAAGTTGTAGAAGGTGCAGTAAACGGGGGGCCGGGGGATGTTTACAAGGTAATGGTCAAACGAAAAGAAAAGTAGGTCGTAAAAAGCTCATGTATCCTGTAAGCCCAGCTTTATTTATTTATTTATTTACTTTTAAAGATTTTATTTCATTATTTGAGAGAGAGCATGAGTTGGGGGTGGGGAGAGAGGTTAGAGGGAGAAGGACGAACAGTTCAGGGAGCTCCATGCAGGGTTCAATCCCAGGACCCCAGGACCATGACCTGAGCCGAAGGCAGGTCAACTTAACCGACTGAGCCACCCAAGTGCCCCCCGCCTCCAAATTTATTTTTAAAAAGCACATTTGACTATGTGTGTAGAATAACAATTAAGGAAATATATCAAGACATTGAGCATTATTTCAGGTTTGTGGTACAAGTCATTTTGATTTTCCTCTTGTTCTTTTTGGCATGTTGGCAGTTGAGTGTAGACTGGAGCCAGACTACCCAGATTTAGATCCCAGCCTCCACCACATGCTAGCTGTGTGGCTTTATAAAAGTTCCTTCACTTCTCTGTGCCTCAGTTTTACCCTTTATAAAATGGGGATGATGGTGGTGATGGTGATGATGGTACCGGTCTCATCAGGTTGTTGTAAGGATTAAACAAGTGAATACATGTAAAATGCTTAGTGTAGTGCTGGTCATAGTCATAGTACACACTAGAAATGTGATCTGTTATTTTTAAAATTTGCTTTGGGAAACATTGAAAACTTTTTATACTCAGAAAAAAGGAATAGTTTTAAACAAAAGAAAGGAACCAAGTTCTTGCAAGAAGCCAAAATAGTGAAAGAGAAAAGGAAGTATCACTCTAAAAACTACCCACTGGCTGCCCCCAAAATTAAAACTGATGACAGGAATTGAATAATTATCCTTATAATTTACAGACCAACTTCACTTTGGTCCAAATCGCCTAGAAAACCAGGGGTAGAAAGAACTTTTAATCCAATGACCTACATGGAGGGTCAATACTTTTTGTGTTGTAAGTGATTCTACTGCTTGCTGGTGGGCTGAGGAGGTTGGGGGACATTCTGGGGGTCCGGGTGTGATGTGGGGGAAGACAGTAGGAGGTGGTCCCTTGTCCAGCAGAGTTCCGGTTCCCGGCTGCCTGAGTTGGATCATTCCGGTCATCGATCATTCTACAGGTATTTACACTGTGGCTGCTGTGGAAGATTTTAAAGGGGGGAGTTCTTTTCATTATCAAGACAATTGTTTCAATTCTCCAGTAATGATAGCTACTAATTGTTGACTACTGCCTGTTTTGGGGTGCTCTGTTCTAAAAACACTGTGAATTTTCTCACTTAGTCTTTACTAACCCTGGGAGGTCAATGCTAATAGCATCCTCATTTTATAGATGGGGAGCCTGAGCACAGACAGTTAACTGGCTCAGGGTCAGAAAGCTTATAAGGTACAGGCTGCATTTCAACCCCTGGGCCACCTGGTCTAGAGTTACACGGCTTAACTCTCCTCTGTTCAACTTCCGCCTCTGTTTAGCTTCTTTTGGCTCTGGAAACCAGAAGGGGCCTAATGTCTTCACGAGCCCCTCATTACATTCTTTTCCTTCTATCTCTGAGACCTGACTCCCACCTTTTTACCCTTCCTTACCCCCAGCACCCCAAACAGAAGCCCATTGGTTTCATTCCACTCTCTGGAGTTGGGAAACAACTTTTTTGAATAGGCTGAAGACAGTTCCTTTGGTGTTGGTGCCTTTCCTGAATTGTGCTCCTGCCTCTAAAGATACCAGAGGCTAGGAGAGCAGCATGTAATGGAGACACATTTTTTTAAAGTTTTTAAATATGTTTTAATTGTGGGAAGATATGCAGAACATGATCTTAACCATTTTTAAGTTCAGTAGCATTAAGTGCGTTCACAGTGTTGTGCAAACAATCTCTGGAACTCTTCATCTTGAAAAACTAAAACTCTGTATCCATCAAATACTAACTCTCCATTCTCCCCCAGCCCCTCATCCCCATCATTCTGTTTTCTGTCTTGATGAATCTACTTTAGGGACCTCATATAAGTGGAGTCATGTATTATTTATCTTTTTGTGACCTTATTTCACTTAGGATAATGCCCTCAATGTTCATCCATGTTGTCATGTGTCCTCTGTGAGGATTTCCTTCCTTTTTAGGGCTGAGGAATGTTCCTTTGTGTCTACACCACATTTTGGTTATCTATCCATCAGTGGAAACAGGTCACTTCTACCTCTTGGCTATTGTGAATAATGCTACTATGAACATGCGTGTGCAAATTCTCTTAGAGACTCTCTTTTGGTACTTTTGGGTACTTTTGGTACTTTTGGGAAGTGGAATTGCTCGATCATATGGTATTTCTATGTTCAATTTGTCCAGAAGCCGCCATGCTGTTCCCCACATTGGCTGCCCCATTTCTCACATTTCTTTACATCTGTCCACGTTTTCCAGTTCACTGGGGTTCCAGTTTTGCTACAGAGGGGCATTTCCACCTGCGGTGCCCTAATCCCCTCTTGTTTCTCTTGGGGCACAGGTCAGTCTATTGTGGGCTGTAAGGCCATCCTCATCGACGACCAGGTTTTCGTGGTGGTGGCCCAGCTCTTCGGCGGCTCTCACATCTACAAATACGACGAGAGCTGGACCAAATTTGTCAAATTCCAGGACATCGAAGTCTCTCGCATTTCCAAGCCCAACGACATTGAGCTGTTTCAGATCGAGGACGAGACATTCTTCATCATCGCAGACAGCTCCAAAGCTGGTCTGTCCACGGTATATAAATGGAACAGCAAAGGGTTCTACTCCTACCAGTCTCTGCATGAGTGGTTCAGGGACACGGATGCAGAGTTTGTTGACATAGACGGGAAGTCACATCTGATTCTGTCCAGCCGCTCCCAGGTCCCCATCATCCTCCAGTGGAATAAAAGCTCTAAGAAGTTTGTCCCCCACAGTGATATCCCCAACATGGAGGATGTACTGGCCGTGAAAAGCTTTAGGATGCAGAACGCCCTCTACCTCTCCCTCACCCGCTTCATCGGGGACTCCAGGGTCATGAGGTGGAACAATAAGCAATTTGTGGAGATCCAGGCTCTTCCGTCCCGGGGGGCCATGACTCTGCAGCCCTTTTCTTTTAAAGATAACCACTACCTGGCTCTGGGGAGTGACTACACGTTCTCCCAGATCTACCAGTGGGATAAAGAAAAGCAGCTATTCAAAAAATTCAAGGAGATTTACGTTCAGGCACCTCGTTCCTTCACAGCTGTCTCCACTGACAGGAGAGATTTCTTTTTTGCATCCAGTTTCAAAGGGAAAACAAAGATTTTTGAACATATAGTCGTTGACTTAAGTTTGTGAGGGGGTGATTGGTGAATTTAAAGACACGTAGAGCTAGCTTTCACAAGAGAGGACCAAGAAGCAGATACAAAGCCAAGTTCAGGGCTCTGCAATTAAAAATGCACTGGGGAACTAGTTAGAAGTTTTCAACATTTTAGAACTCCCATTTTGGTCAGGGATTGCATTTATTGGCTAACTGCATGACATGTCCATTTTCCCATTTAAAAAGACATCTTGAAGCCTGTTATCTCTAAGAAAAGAGAACAGCATTAACTCTTACCATCTAGGAAAGTAATGTGCTTTTTGCTTTTTTCTTTTTTTTAAGTGAGGAAGGAGGAAATCGGATAAGATGGGACAGTTCTTATAATGGAAATAATAAACAAACAAACAAACAAAAAGACCAAACAAACTATGGGCCCTTCTCATTCCATTTTAGCAATCTTTTTTGGTAAGAATTCTTAAAGCCAAAGAAAGCTAAAAAGATTTGCTGATGATTCGTTTAAAAATCTGATAACACTCAGCAATGCTATTTTTGAGTCCTTTCAGTTTCCTGAATCCCCCCTCCCAGCAGAACGTTGGCTATTCCATTGGCTCCTATGGAGAGATACTTGTCATGGGAATGTTAACAAAATAATGCGGGACATCACTTCCTTTGCCGCAAAGAAAATACTCTGCTGACACGCGTCCAGGCCCCGCACAGGCTGTAGGCCCATGAGTGAGACAAAGGTATTTTCCCCTCTTCCTTGTGGTTCAGAGCCGACCCCGTGGCAGCCGGAACAATATTGCTTGTTAGATGCCCTCCATGGCTCGGCTGCTTCCCTGAACCCACTCTTTGAGTGTGTGGGTAGTCAGCAGACAGGCCAAAGACTGAACGGTGCTTTTCATCCCATCCTTTAAAGTAATAGAACAGGTCTTTCCATCCAATGAGCATTTGGTAGGATTTTGGAAGCAAGATCTTGTGGGATCAAAGAGGACTTTACACAAGTCTTGCTGTACTTTGATACCTAGAGGTGGCCCTTTGATTTGTGCATGGCCGTGCCCTCTGGGCAGCTTCCTATTTCGAGTCATTGAATACCAGCCTACCTTCCTGCCCACCTGCCTTCCTCCCTACTCCCACGTCAGTCCTGTTTTGTGGATATGCCGTTGCTGCTGCCACCAATGAGGGGCTGAGGCACCAGACAGCAGAACCTGGGGTGCCCTTGATGCTAGTGCCCCTTCCTTTCCCAGTAGTTTAGCAATGGAAAGCCCTCTGGAGGGCTCACACCGTGATGTGGGTCCACGTACTGACAGGGGGCTCATCCTGAATAGGCTGGTGGGGGGTGGGCCGATCATCGGGGACCCACTTTGGAGCTTGACCCACTGCATCCCACAGACCAGGTCTGTGCTGGGGGGGGCTACAGGGTCTATTTCAAACTGGGCTTCTCTGGTGTGGATTATCAGGGAGCCCATGGGGTCTGGTTTTGCAGAAGCTTCCCAGTGGATGTTCTGCCTGTTTAGTGGGTTCACCTGAAGTGGATTTTAGGAGTGGCTCTCAAAGAGCCACCCAACAGCGTCTCTGGGAGCCCCCAAACCAGCACAATCATGTGGTACTGGCACATTATTTTTTAATGATCGTTTGCCAAGTCATGAGTAGGTAGAGGTTTTGCCACACGTTTGGGTGCAGTGTTGTTTCTGCTTTAAGCGATGTAGGTCAAGGCAACCAATAGCGTGGACACCAGGGAGTTTGGTGAACTCAGTCACCCACACGTAGTACAGCATTGCTGCTTGAAGCTTTCTTGCTAGGCACCAACCAAATAGGAGAAGTGGTTTGTTTTCATTTCTGAAGCACAAAATCACCCTTCCGTGTTCTTTTGCCTTCCTGGTTCATTTGAATTGACTACAAATGCCCAAATCCCCGCATCAGCAGCAGAAAGTGGGACAGCTCTGCTCTTCCTCTATTAGGATGGGCAAGCAATTCTCTCTGGCACATGGAACTCCTCAGACAAGCCTGGGCAGAAAGACGGGCCCTTGGCAAACAAGGTAGGGGACATTTTGACAGTCCTAGCACTCGTGCCAGTTTGAAATGATGTTCCTGAGCCAGCCGCTTGTTGGGAAGGCAACCGGGACATCTTTTCACAGGGCTGCCTCTAGGGAACGGGGCACCGGCCCCCCAGCTTCCCCTCTGAGGGGGAAGTGCCTGTAGAAACCATCTGCATTCACCATGCTGGTAATCATTGCTTAGAATCCAGAAAACCAGGAAACCCGGGGTGCGGAGCTGGGGACAGGGGTGCTTTCCGGGTCCAGGGGATACATTGGCCGGTGGAAGAAAGATCTAAGGAACTACGGGCGAGGCGAGGGCAAGAGGGTGGGTAGTCCACACGGCTACAGTCAGGCTCTCTTTTTCTTCTTAAGAAATTAGACAAGAGCAGAGTCTGCAGCCTACAAGAGTCTTGGCTCTGAGGGAGGAGATATTTGTTCTGGCCGACGTGCTAAAGGAGCGGAGATGTTCTTGGCATGAGGTTGTGGAAGCTTTGCTTCATTAATCTCGCTGCTCCATCCCAAGAAACCCTCTAGTTTTGAATAATTTCTGAAAGAAGCTTTTTCCCAGTAATAATGTAAGACCAAAAAAAAAAAAGACAACAGTAACAGAAACCCAAAAGCTGAGAGACACGTGGGACCATCCACTGTGGAGAGAGTTCTGGGAAGGGCTGCTCTTCCTTCCCATCCCCCACGGGTTGCCTTCTTGTCAGCTTGTTTCTTCTTTGCAATCTCTGTAGTGAGGCTAGGTCGCTCCACGTAGCCAAGTGGCCACGCCACACAGCCTTAAAGCGTGGGATCTGGAACAGATCTCTCACAAAGACTAAAAACAAGCCTTAGATGTGAATGGCACGGTGTTCTCGGGCAATGAAGAGTAAGCCCACCCTGCATCTCAGCAGAGCTTTACGATTTTGTTCAGTGTGCATTTGTGTCCATCTCATTTGTCCATAAGTAGTTCTTCAGTGTATTGGTGGGCGGGTATTCTAATTTCAGAGAGCATGAAACCAGTACGAAGATCGAAGTCGATTGCCTGCTCAAGATCATCTGGTAGTGAATGGCGAAGGCAGAGTTTACCCCTGCACGGCGGGCTGTGATTTGTGACTCTCTGACATGCCTTCCGAATAAAGACTTCTTTTTTTTATCATGATTCAGAATGTAGCAACACCTTGAGATAAAATAAAAAATACAACAACATATGCATAGCAAGGAGGAAAATAGAGCTGAATAGACACCATCTTATGAATTGGTCCCTTTTCCAATTAAACGCTACGGGATCCCTACTGCACGTAAGGCCCCACTCTTGAAAGTCTTCCAGAAGTTTCAGATAATTTTCTGTTCTAAAGAGGATTGCTAGCTGGCACGGTTGCTTCTCCACACACACCGAACCCTCCAATAGCGATGGGGCAATGTTGAGGTCGAGACACATCTGGTTCTTGTCACAACGTCCACAAGATAAACAGAGAGTTCTGTGAGGGAACAACTACAAACTCGAAGGCACGAGTGGTGATGAATTGCTCCAGGTCATAATCAGCCTTTGGGGAGCACGCTGGAAATGCCAGTGTTGCATTTTTCTTCCCCAACGGAGAGAGGCTGTGTATTTTTAGGAAAGAAGTCAGTGTGGGATGCTGGAGGTTTGGCTGCCAGGAACACTCAGGATGGAAATTTCTCGGACTGGGGGTCTAATGAAAGAGAGATGAAGGTCTGCTGGAGGGGAATCTGTTTGCATGCCACCTAAAGGAAATCCTTTAGCCAGGCTTCCGGATTCTTCCGCAGATATCGGTCCCTCCCTCTGCTCCACAGTTTTGGAAGAGAGTTCTTTAATTAGGCAGTGGCCAAAGATTCTTTTGAGCAGGGCTCCGGAGTAAAATGCAGTCATCTAGCTGTTGGTGATGTAAGGTTGTCCAGACTTAGGACAGTCTAAAGGGAATGGGCAGAAAAGCCAGGCTGATGGCCATGGAGTGAATTCTTTTGGGAACGTAGAAATAAACTGGAAGGAAAAAGGTCATCATGACTTCCTTTGTGTCAGCCAGGCCAGTAGAGGTTGGAACCAGGAGACAAATTTAACAGCCAATTAATAGCGAAGAGAGCCCATTGTAATGCTAATTGAAATAAGAATTGTGTTGTAAAGTTAACTGAGATCTAAACCGAGAGAGGCACTCTTATCCTTAATGTTATTTCATTACTTGTATAGAATCTACCTTTTTTCTAGTAGACTATGCATTCCCTATCAATCCCTTTGACTATCAGGAATGTATATGAACTGTGATAAAATAAGCCAATATGCCATTTGGTACCATTTTTATGTATCTTAGATGCATAACTTAGGTAAAATAAGAATAGTTTCTATGTATATGAAAGCAAATTTTGCAGTATGCAAGCTACAATGGATGCATTTTAAGGCTGAATATATATTTAGATCTCTTTTGGTAAATACAGTTAACAAAAAACATGCCTCTTAATTCGATATATCCTGTAAGTCTATGAATAAAAAGTAGCTCATGCCTAATGTGGCTTTGATCTCTGGTCTGCTTGAATACGGATATGCCCACTCGAGTCACGGAGTTGAGGGCTCACAGGCTGTTGTGGAAGGGTGGAGTATGCCCATTTATCTTTGTGGCTTACTCCTGGTTTAAATGGAAAATGAGCCCCCGTAGGGGACTTTTGCTTCTACTTGCAAATCGAAAAGTCGCTAAAAAGTCACTGAGGGACTTTACAGCTATACCTCTACCTGATCTGCAGAATCATGATCTTGACAAACTGACAAAAAAAAGTCGAGGGATCTTTGGGCATCCTCTGATTCTGCGTGGTGGGAAGATGAGATTACAAGATCCCATCGATTGGGAGGAACCATGAACAAACTGAGGGCAAGACTTTGTCTTGTTCTCTGCATGTCTCGGCTCGTGTCTCTATCTATGTCTTTAGACCCATCTGGTCTCATTGGAGAGAGGAGAGGTCAAAAACTCAAATCACATTTGACTGTGTACTTAACTGTGTGTCAATTACTTTAATATGCTGTGGAGTTTTTGAAAAAGTACAAGAGCAGAGGGGTGCCTGGGTGGCTGAGTCAGCTAAGCTTCTGCCTTCAACTCATGTCATGATCCCAGGCTCCTGGGATAGAATCCGTGCATCAGGCTCCTTGCTCGGCAGGTAGCCTATTCTCCCTCTCCCTCTGTCCCTCCCCCTGCTCAAGGGCTCATACTCTCTCTCTCAAATAAATAAATAAATAAATAAAGTCTTTTAAAAAGTACAAAAGCAGAATTCTTGCTCTCCGGAGACTTAAAGCTAGTTAAAAGGAAAAGTCATAAGTCTTGCAGTCACTCAAAGGGAGAGGATTATAGGGGCCCCTGGGTGGCTCAGTCGTTAAGCATCTGCCTTCAGCT